TTTCATCTCCTGGAGCCTGTCTCATGGGCCTGTTGGGCTTCCCATGCTATGCCTCTAGCATCAATCCAACCCAGCCCCGCAATCCCTGGAGAAAGGCCAATCCTCCGCCCCCCAGGTACCCACCCTGTGTCCTCAACCAGGGTCTAGGGTCCTGACACCACACTCAGGCCATACCTCAAAGGGTCAGGTGTTGAGGTCTTTCTATATGCGCAGGCGCAGGTAATATGAGTGACGAGATGCCCCAGTTTGGCCAGGGTTGTCCTTTTGTTTTTTTTGGTAATCCTCATCCAAAGATTTGTTTTTTGGGTAATCCATTAATTTTTAGAGAGAATGGAAGGGAGGGAGGGAGGCGAGGGGAGAGAGGGGGTGGGAGAGAGAGGGAGAGGGAGAGGGAGAGGAAGAGGGAGATTGGTTGCCTCCCCACACTCCCTGACTGGAACCAGGGATTAAACCTGCAACCCAGGTACGTGCCCTTGATTGGGAATCGAACCCCCAACCCTTCTGTGTTTAGGCCGATACTCTACCACTGAGCTACATTGGCCAGGGCCTTTTTATTTTGATTTTTAAACCTCACCCAAGGACATGCTTAGAGAGGAGAAGGGAGAGTGAGAGAGGAGAGAGGGAGGGAGAGGGCGGGGAGAGAGAGAGGTGAGAGGGCAGAGTTGTCCTCACTTTTGATGGCTTGTGTCTGTTAGAGAAGTGTTCTGGAAACCATGTCCTTGCCTATATAGAGCTATTGCTATTCACAGGCTTGGAGGCTTTCAATAGCATGTGCACAGCAGGAGGCAGTGTAGCAGCTGGCTAAGGACTCAGGAGTTATACTGCCTAAGGTCAAATCTCCTCTCTGCTCCCCAGCATCCGAGAGACCTTGGGCCAGTCATTTTACCCCACTAAGCCTCCATTTCTTCCTCTATAAATGGGGATGGCAACTAATGTTACCTACTTCATAGGATTATTCAGAGGATTATGGAGTTAATGCGCGTGAGGCATTTCATATAGTGCTGGGCTCAGAGCCAGCACTCAAGATACGTGTTAGATATTATGATGAAGATGTTAGATGCCTTACCCAAGTTTATTAAGTCTTCGAATTTATTACTGAGGATTATTATTGTTGTTATAATCATTATCCCCATTTCACAAATGAGGAAACAGACACATAGAAAGATTAAGTAACTTGCTAAATCTTGCTTACTAGCTTCACACAGCTAGCAAGTGGAGAAGCTAAGATTTAAGTTGATGTGTCTGAAGACCTCTTACTTCCATGAACAAAAGCATAACAAATAATGAGATGTTGGGGTTGCTCCCTAAATGCTCTAGACTGCTCACTCACAGCTTAAGGGCTGAAGGATGCAGGCAACCATCCCGTTCTGTGGAAAGTCCCTGTGCCTGACAGTGATTTAGGGGGTGGGGGAGCCTGGGCTCCTCAGGTCAGCACCAAAAGGGGGAGCCCCACACTCCAACCTGGTGACAAGATGGTGACGAGAGAACTCATGAGCCAGGGAAAGTGGGAGGCCCACCGGAAAGTGCTGTGAACGACCAGTCTGGGGCATTTAGGAAGCAACCCCAAGAATTCTACAAGAATCCTGCAGAACTGTGCTCTCCTGCCCCAAAGCTCATGCTGCCCTTGACATGCTTCTCAGGCCTAGGATTCAGAGCTTAAATCCCTAGCACATTCCCTTTCTCAGAGGAGGTCTCAGATCATCTCCATCCTTCTGAAGTCCCCAGTTAAATCTAAACACTTTGGGCAGAGGCTCCTCCCAGGGGCCCAAATGGGAAAGCTGAAGATGCTGGAGGAAGCCATCTCCCCTTCCTGCTCATCACACCCCTGGACCTCATCTCTCATCTCTCTTCCTTTGAACTGAGAGGCCCATGAGCATCTATGTGCCCCTGAACACTGTGACCCCTGAACACTTTGATGGGCTACCTGACACAAGCTCCCATTGGGCCCCTAGTGCTCCACCCACTCCTCTGTGCCTCTTGTTTGTCATCAAACCCAGACTGTCCTTCACCCCAGGCATCTGGGCTTTTGTCTACATTTCCCTGATTTTTCTCATCCCACCCTGTCAGACCCTACTTCAGCCAGGTCACTCCCAAATTCCCATTTGGGAGTTCCCAATTAGTGGCATCACAAAAGAGGGGCAAAATTTTTTCTCTGACGGAGCCCAGGCCCAGCCTGCTTGGTCTCTGGCCCTGAAACAGCACACTCACCACAGCCCTGGGCCTCCTTTCACTCCTGCCCACTTAGGTCTGTTGTCTTAATAAGAACTCCAGCGGCTTCACTCCCCACCGCTCATCCCCGCCAGCGGCTCAGACACCCCAGGGGGAAGCTCAGCCCCAAAGGTCAGAGAGGCCCTCCCCCAACCGCCTGGGGTGAAGAGGCCCTCGTTTCCCCAGGTAACCAAGGGAGACCAGCCCCGCTGTGGGATGGAGGCAGGTGCGGAAGCTTCTGGACCTGCAGGGGGGACTGCGGCCCTCAGGAGCCGGGGTGGGGCTCAGCCTTTCCGAGAAGGCTGGGGCCCTTATGACTGCTCTCCTCCGTGCCCTACCGACGCCCCACTTTCCCCTTCCTCCTCCTCACGGTAACCCCCTCCCCTTACTTGCAAACCCTAAGCCTCTGGGCCAGTTTGCAGACAGTGACTGTGGCAGGGGAGGGGGCACGGGTCTCACTTCAAATAGGAGGGTGTGGGGTGCCTCTGCCCTTTCGGGTCAAGCGAAATGTGGGAGCCAAGGCTGGGGCCGTCTATGGGCTTTGGACCCCCGAGGGCTGAGGGCGTCCCGGGGGCGCGAATGGGGGCAGAGTGAGTTCAGTCAGACAGGGGAGACCCAGGGTTGAGTGTCCCCTCTCCCAGAGGTCGCCTCACCGACTCCGGGGCCCCAAGCGCTCCCCTTTCCGCAGGCTGCCGCGCCGTCTCCGCCGGTCGTTAGGGACGCCCCGCGTCTCC